AATGTTTGTGGATAGAAAGTGAAACATTTTGAAACATTTGTAAAGGTTTCAGAAAACTTTCAAACTTTTTGCTCCTAAAAAATTTATTTACTCCTTGCAGGCGAGCCTTGGCCATGGATGGTACGTGTACAGGGGAGCATGGAGTGGGTTTAGGAAAAAGGGCGCTGCTGTGCGAGGAGATGGGGCCTGTGGGCATCCAGGTCATGCAGAGTCTCAAGGACGCCCTCGACCCAAACAACCTGATGAATCCTGGGAAAATCCTGCAGCGAGAAGAGCCATGAGCAGCATGTCCATCTGAGTGAAGTTTGTGGACGCACCTCTGTTAAAGGAGCACAAGCAAACATATGAAATCATTGAAGCAGTGATTTGCAAATTCAGTTAAATCAAGAAAGCTATACGTGTTTTGTGGGATTTCTCACGAATGTTCCTACATGCACCAGAAAACCTGACTCTTGGAAAATGATGAGTGTTAATAGAATCCTTTTTGCTAACTCCAAATTTGAGTTTTTAAGGAAGACCTGGTCTGTTGTTGCAGACCAGCATTATGTAAAGATTATCTTCCACAGATCCTTTCTTTTTGTGTCATTAAAATTAATGTCTAATATGTGGAATCACTCCAAGTGCTGTTCAACCTGTTTATTGCCTGCTGAATACATTTCATTGAAAGTAGACACTACGGTTTATTATGCTTTTGCTTTTGTAAACACTTTACCTAACTGCAGATGAGCATTTTGACACAGGACTCCATTATTCTATTGATCTGCATAGCTGTTTAAAGAGTATCTAGAATTCAGCGACTATATGTTGTATACTTTAAATAAATCACAGTGTGCAATGGTTTCAGTGAAATCCTTGACCATGATGACCTACTTAAAGAAACTGAAAGTTTTTGTTAATTCACAGAATGTAATGTAGGATGAATGTCCATGGGTGAGGTCTGCATCAGCAGGAAAAGCTGAAAAACCTGTTAAGATATATTTAAAAGTCCACAATCTTTGCCCTCTTTCACATTTTTCAAAGCTATACAGTGGGACAGATCCATCTTTGACGACCTGATTCTAGGCCCCAGGCCTTATCTTTGACCTCCCTGATATAGGTTGTCAGGAGGTCATTAATGACAAAAGTACAGTAACTTCTAATAATTTGGAGCGCTGCATTTGAGCGCTACAAAGTTGGCTATTGTTAAGAAGCTACATAAAAGTGAGAAAAGCAAACATGTTAGCTTTTCAGCATGTTAAATTCATTTCACTGTCCGCTAACCGGAATGGAGGCAGCTTTCAAGGAAGCGAGCAAACTTCAAGTAATTTAAGTTGCCATCATTTGGATTCACTGCGTTTTATGTCACAAACCATTAAACAAGAAAATTATCAGAGCCAAATGAACCTTCAGGCTTCTTTGTACCTGGATTTCTTCCTTCTGTCTGTGATGAAGCAACGCTCTACACCACCACACGGTGTCAGTGGTGCATCCTTGAGAGACAAACCTGCAGCGTGTCAGCCAGAAGATCAAAATATAATCCTCATTTCTGCCTCGGCAGCTTTGTAACTATTGTTTTCCCAGCTTGCAGCCACTAACTGAACATTAAGAAAGACGTGAAGAGCACTAACACACTCGCACAGCCACTGAGCTACAATCAAATCTCCTTTTAAATAAAAACACTGCGTGACTTTGTTATAGCTCACTCTGAGTTCTGTTTATTTTATTCTTATTGATTTGCATAGCTGTTTAAGCAGTCTACAGTTCAGTGACTATTTCCTGCAGCCTTTCTAATAAGTCATATTTGTTTTCCGTGAAATCCTTGACGATGGTTCAGGAGGTCTTTAAAAAAGATGCATTGAAACTTATAATTAATAACAACCACAAAATGATCACAAAGAGACCACGCATTCATTTAAAAAGACAAAAGAAGAAAATAAATAAGTGCAATATACATTCTAAAGTTATATTTCATGTGGGTTTGAAAAAAATCCACACATGCAAAAGAAAAACGCTATTTTCTCCCCATTTTACCTGAAAAAAATATACAAATATAGCAGAAATGGGCTGGTAATCCAGTTTTCACCACCTCTGTTAAGTGGCCTTTTATGACTAAACTAACTAATGATGATATGTTGAGAATGTTATTAAGGGTGTTAATGAATCCTTTACTTCATTAGCGTATTTTTGGTAATCCACTCATTGAGAGTTAATGTTTAGTTATACTTTAATAAACAGATTTTTGACTCAGATTCTTCACAGCTGCGGACCAAACATGTCAAATTTGTTAACATTAAATAAAGTTAGAAGTCACGTTTCCTTTATAAATGTATTAAATGTATATGGGCAACTTGTTAAAAGGCGGCACTAAAAATTTCCTGGTTATGGATTCGCTGGAACTATTAAAAAAAAAACTGGCTGAGAACCTGCTTACACTGTGTTTTTGTGAGCTTGATTTTTTTTATTATACTGGTGCAGTGTGTGTGTGTGTGTGTGTGTGTGTGTGTGTGTGTGTGTGTGTGTGTGTGTGTGTGTGAGAGAGAGAGCATGAGAAGCAAGGGAAGCATTTTAGTTTTACTAACAAGTTGATTTCTTATCCTCTGTGTCAAAAAGCAGTTTTTCCTCTTCTAATTTGTACTTCCTGTGTGGAGACTGTGTAGCAAACCTTGTTTCTTTTATTCATTTTACATTCTGTGTGTGATGTTGTCTGTTATCAGTGTTACTAAGATCTCATGTTAAACCTCTACACCTGTGATTTCTACTCATTTTGGGCCTTTTATCCAGACCTGTCATATTAGTATAATCACCAACACACTGCTCATGTTTCATGGCTCATTTTTTTTGCTTTGTTATTATATACTTTACATTTACTTAACTGTTTTTACATTTTGAATGCTGTCATCATAACTGTTTTAAGCGTTCATCCATTACCTTTATGAGCATTAATACTGAAAATCAAAACTACAAGTGAATTAAATATTTCATGTCTAACTGACTAATTGAATCCATATTTGCTTATTTATTACTTCTTAGTACTGCATTAGAGCCTATCACAGCAGCTGTAATGGGATGAGACGTGGGGCTATTCTGAAATTAATAAAATAAATAAATAAAAATCTTTATTTTCTTTGGAAGAAAATAAATTTTACATTTATATTTATTATTTCTGTATGTTGCGGTTCCCACATTCCTTGAATTTGCAGGGTCTGGACAGCAGCCTTTGTAATCTTATAGAATATTCAGGTTTTTAATCTTCCTCTAAGATTTCTCAGTGTTTTATTATAAATGTATGACTTTAAGCCCTAAAAAACATTTTTCTCGAAATATTACCCCCAACTCCTTCTACCCAGTTTTTTTTAATTATTGTGAGTTCATGAGGAGCCCTCACAGTTTGTGTTGTACATGTACAATGACAATAAAGGGCTATTGTAGTCTATCTAGAACAGTAACAATATGTCATCATAACTTGGTGCCTTTAGATAATTATTTATTAATAGTAGCTAACCATGGAGCTGTACATTACCACTGTTTCTTTAACAATGTATTCATTAGCCTGATTTAATAATGTGGCCTGTATTTTGACCTTTGCCCCTCATTTCAGGGATTTTTTACTTTAAGCTGTATTTTTGTTTTTATCCCTTATTCCACTATTTTGCAGCGGTGCTTTAAATCAGCTGGAGCTGATTGTGTGTGTCTGGCTTTGTGTGTGTTTACATGCCTGTGGAGCAGAGAGGGATCCATTTATAGGCTTGCTGTCATTATAGCGGATAGATTAACACCTACTGTACTGTAAGTACTCAACAATAGTTTACCTTATTGGGTAGTAAACCCAAGAAGGCTGCACGAGTCTGACTTTGTTTTACTGTGGAAGAACAAAGAGCCAAGGAGAATATAACCAGCCTAATTACACACACAGACACACACACATGCAGGATTAAACGGAGCAGGCCTAATCCCAAACCAAACATGGTCACCAGTGATCCCAATAATTTAGCATACAGGATGGTGGCAAAATCTGTGAATAGCCTGGTAATGACATCAGTCTGCAGGACTAAAGACTCAAGGCCTGACCTTGTGGGGCAGCAGCAGAGGAGCATCGACGATGCAGAAGAAAAGGGGTTAATTAATGTTTTAATTAAGAATTTAATCTGAGAGGGGATTCACCAACCATTCAGATATATTCCCAGAATGTTTTAATCCAGACTCTTTAAGACCTGTGACTGTTTATATACAGTGCTTTCCTCCTCAGTGCATCATTGTAAACCATAGTTTTATAATGGTGAACACAAAAATATGATATACAGCTCTGGAGTTGTAAAAACAATAGAGTTCAAAGTTTTAACAAACAAGGACTCCCCTTCATAAACCTCAAAGTGGTTCGGTCCACATCCTGCTGCATCTTTTACCTTGCAAAGGTGAACTGAAAGGATGTCAGTGGAATTAAACATATTAATGCTGCTGTACGGACTTTATTCTGGAGGTCAACCCACCATGAAAATCATCAGAACTTAAAGACTTGACTGGATTTTCAAATCATTTTCAGACTGTTTCGTGACATTTTTTAATTTCTCATGTAGTTATTCCTCAATTCGTCCAAAATCCAGCACGATACCACGATAACCATAAATTGACTGTCTGATAATGTAGAAACTTCATAGCTAGAGCCGATATATCTGTGACAGGACAGATACTGGACGATAACTAACGAGCGATCAGAGCAGTTTAAAATTATTCTGTCTTTGTGTATTTTTATGTCAGTTCTTTTGTTTCCTTTGTTTGTTTGCTTTTTCTTTCGGCTACCTGGTGCGTTCCCCCTCCACCGCCGTCACACCTGTCCTGTCCTAAAATGCCCCATAATCCAACATGTGAAAAAAAAGAAAGAAAAACAGGCCAATCCCATGTCGGGGAATTAGAAACGGCGTGCATCTGTCTCCCATACTGTCTGTATTTATGATCCGAGCCTGCGCACTAAGCGCGTCCATTGTCTGGCCAGCAGCAGCAGCAGCGGCTGAGACGGAGCGGAGAGGAGCGGAGCGGAGCGCCGATCTGAGCGCAGGGGAGCGGCTTCACTGTGACCCCGATCTCCGGGGGGTGGGAAAAAAAGCGAGCCCACCAGACCGGACGGACGACGTCATTTATTTGTGTGTGTGCGCGCGTGTGTGTGTCAGAGACAGACCGTCGTTTTGCTGGCGGTCAGACAGACAGCAACAGTTGTCACGATGTCTGAGATCAGATGAGGGCAGAGCAGCGGAGGGAACACTGCGGCGCTGCTGTGATCCGGGCCGGCCGCCTGCGATGAGACAGCCGCGTTAACCAGCCGGGACAGCAGGGCAGCAGCGCAGCGCGCGCATCTGTTCGCGGAGCGCGGATTTCGGCGTCAGTCAAACGCTCTCCGCTCGTTCCTCCCGGTGGTGTGTGCGGGTGAGGTGAATCCAGACGTCAGGGCTGGCTCATGTTCCGCTCAGCAGGGAAACGGGCTGTTGCGTCTGCGGAGAGTCAGAGCTGACGAGCCTGCCGACACACACGGACGGATAGGCAGGCAGGCAGGCCGACAGACAGACAGGAGCGAGGGGAGGGGGGCACAGCCTGCCCTCTGCGGATCGAGCCGAGCCCCCTCCTGTACCCACCCAGAACCCCCACCCACTCCTCTCCCCGCTTTGGATGGGGGGAAAGCAGAGCACGGCGGGGCGGCCCCGGGGTGCTTTTCCCGGTGTCTCTACGGATGACAGCGCGGTGCCACCCTCGGCCCACTTTGGTCACTACCGGCCGAGCGGCACCATGGGCCTGCGGAGCCGCTCGGTGAGCTCCGTGGCTGGGATGGGCATCGAACACAGTCCCGCCGTGCCCTTCGGCTTCTACACCCCAAGAGGAACGGACTCGGATCGAGCCGGAGGGGGGTCAGGGGGCACTACCGCGGCCCCTCACGGGACCGGCTACCAGGACACTGGGGGCGGAGGGCACCACACGGACGGGGTGCTGTATCTGGGGTCCCGGGGGTCGCTGGCTGACACCTTGCCCCTGCACATCGCACCCCGCTGGTTCAGCGCGCACAGCGGTAAGGTCTGCAGGCTACACACACACACACACACACACACACACACACACACATACACACACACACACACACACACACACACACACACACACACACTGTTAACCAGCAGATATTCGGGGGACGGCTGACGGATTAATCATCGCACAAAAAAGCACGAACACATTCCCACGGACACCTGCTCCTACTGCCAGACACCTACCTTGTTTACCTGCAGGTAGGCTGCTGAACGACACCAATGCGGTGCCCATAAATTTCACCGCAATCACGGGGAAGTTAAGCCCGAGGACGCACTCAGAAACAAGCAGAAAGGAGGCTTTTGTCTGAGAAAAATAAGACTGCCCTGTATGGAAAACATGTTGTGCTTCACGTTCTCTCCGCTGGCTGTAGGGGAAAAAAAATCTGGGGCACTGGATGAATTTTTTCAGCAAGAAACTGGAGATGTCGATGTTTCATCATTGGTGATGAAATGTGTTTAAAGCTCATTTCTGTGTGCGGATGTTTTGGGGAGAACATAGTCACCGCTGCGCCGTCTGCGTAGGTCATTGCTTGTTGTGTGAAATGACTCTAATAAGCCTGTTGCCAAATCTGGCTGGGTCAATTAGCCCAGCGATTATAGGGGAGAGAGGGAGGGAGGATGGATGGGGGGGAGGAAGGGCTGAGAGGGCTGTTCATGCTCATCATCGGCTTACCACCCTGCACAATATGTCTGTGTGCGCCTGAACACAGCTGCACACTCACAGGTATATGTAGGTCTGATGTCGGGCGCCTCCTCACACTCACAGTGAATATCAGTTTGGCTGTTTCCTGTGGCGCTTAGAAGGAACAGCAGCACTTCAGAGACGAAAAGAGAATCAGCTGGCACATAAATCTGATCCTTCTGAAATCTTAGAGGGTCATTTGCACTTAGAAATGCCAATTTCACCGCTTTCAGTGGTGTTAAAACACAATTTATTGTTATCATCATTATTATTTTACAGCTGGTCATGTAACATTATAAGCTGTGTAGACCTGCCATGTCAAACTCATTTGAGTTTATGACCAAATCACATTGGTTATATACGTGATTTATGACCATATATAACAAATGTGATTTCAGTTGATTAGTAGTATGAACTGCACAAACTGAGTCATCTTTTTTAAATACAAGTGCAAACGTCTGGGGGTTTAGGGAGCCAACCTTACCCACCAGAAACAACGCTTAGCCACATATCCATCTTTGGATGTAGTATAACTTTGTGTATTCAAATATTTAATAAGTAATTGAGGAACCTTATAAACACTGTCTTCTCTCCATTACACAAAGCAGCCTCAGCCTGGTCCCCAGGCTCTCATTATCAGCGCTCTGACCGGCTCATGGAAAGAGAATAACAAGTTGGATGTCAGTATACATGTTGTTTGCACCTGGCCTACATTGTCCGGTGACTCCAATGTGCTCTCATAACCAGGTTGGAGGATCGGAGTGTAAAACTGGAGAAATGAGCAAAAATATGTAAATATTAAACAGACAGGAAGCAGAAGCATGGTCACAGCTGAACAACCTTTGATTTTCAGCAGATCTATTGGGTTTCTGTAGAGTTCACCAAGTTAAGCTTATGACTCACACCAGTACATTCACCATTACAATAAAGAATGGAAGGATTACTGAAGGGCCTGCTGTGCACAAGGCTAAGGGGAACATAGGTCCATTAGTCCACCACAAAAAACCACAAAGAGGTCCAAAGTGTCCATAAAGAGATGCAAAATCACTGGAGAAAGGAGAAACAAAACAACCATAAACATAAAGTTATGCAAAAATACAAAACATCAATAAAGAGACTGTGCATAATAGCTACAGAGAGAAATAAGATGTCCATAATGAGATGCAAAATAACCATAAAGATATGCAAAGAGACACAAAACGAATGCACAGAAAAATAAAACGCCCACAGCTACAAATAAGCTCAAAATAGAGATGCAAAGCATCAATACAGAAAGTAGAAACAGTTACAAAGATATGGACAATAAATATAAAGAGATGCAAAAAGGCCATAAAGAGATGTAAAAAAGCTTCGAACATACAAAATGCTCATAGAGAAGGCAGAAATCATGATAGAGAGATGGAGAGTATTTAAAAAGAGATGCATGACAGCTACAGACAGATCCCAAACTTCCATAACACAATGTAACGTGACTCTGAAGAGATGCAGGGTAGATGCAAAGAGCTGCAGAAACATGCAAAATTATCCGAGTCAGAAAACAGCTCCAACTACAAAACGGCAGAAAAAGTGACACGAAGGTTGCAAACTAGCACGTGAGGAAGGCAGCTCTGACCAAAATGTCACTGTTTTAATGCTGTAATAAAAAAACTGGTTGCTTTTGTTGCAAGTTTTGCCATTTTTCATCTGTCTACGCTTTAGCACGGCTTTTGGTTTATAACTTTTCTCGGCTGGGTTTTATTCTGGGTGTTTTTCTTGGCTGCTTTTAGAACCACAATAGAGCTGTGTCAGAAAATCCAGGACCCTCATTTATTTCCACTGCGAGCGCACAGTGGGGTGCCACCGCAAAGGGCCCCGGCAAGAAAACGCCCGTACTCTGTCAGAAAAAGTCCATCCCGGTTCAAAATGATCAGCGTCACTGAGCTTTTCACCGTCAGCCAAAACCATGCGTGAAACTGTCTGTATTTAATAGACAAGATCAAAAGATCACTGTCGCCTGCTTTTTTAGCTTTTATTCTCATTTATTCATTGACCTGAAAATCTTTGGTCACAACTTGTTTTCAAAGCTTAGCAGGAACTTTTTTGTCAGGTGGGAATTTGTGTTTATTCCCGTCGTGCACAGATGCTTTATGTAATCACGAAGCTCGGAAACCGTTACACTGTTGTTCTGATCAGGACTCTCATCAGACCACATCCTAAAGTTCAATTAAGCTGTTAGCACGTAGCATCATGCTACATAATACTATAGTCCTAGTAGTGTAACTACATAACATTATTTTGCACAGTATGATTTGTTTTCTTCCTTTCTCTGCACATTTATTACCAAAAGCCTTGAACCATTCCAGCAATCAAAAGAACTGCCCTTGAAATCAGACAGCGTAAAGGATTTATTACTCTAATTACCTGAGGTCGACCCCATCTAGCAGATTCTCTTTCTTTGAAAACAGCAGGGTGACAAAAACATCACAATTAAATCTTAATGTTCAAAGCAGTGCGTCTCACCTTGCTGTCTGTAATCAAAGGCCTCACACGCAGCCGCTGGTCTTTAGGGAAAAATGGCTGTGACTGGTTGGTGCGTGGCTGGAGGTTGCTGCCATTAATTTGGTACTAAAGAGGTGTACAAGGCTGCCTGCAGATTGCTGCAGTTGGCAGCAGTCAGTATGGAAAATGACAACATGTCAAGCAGGTTGAAATCTCTTAAAAGTGTGAAAGCAGAAACGGAGAAGTTTGCTTTTGAAAATAAAAGTTCCGCCTTTTCAAATGCATTGGTTGCAGCGGTGCAGCACGCTCTTTGCAGCAACCACTTGGCAACTGGTTGGGGAGTGGAATATGTGTTTTTTCTTAGTGGCCGGTGTTTGCTGTGTCTGTAGTCTTCATGTTTCTGCACCTTTGGGCTCATCTGCCTCCATCTCACCCAATCCCAACATCCTCTCTGTCACGATAAACGCTCTGCCCGTCCTTCTTCTGTTGTATTCTAGGCAAAAGACGGATGCAACTGAATTTTAACAAGCCTCTGTGTGTATTTAAAAACTGCTGTCAGGGAGGCGCAGTTACAACATAGTGATGGGAAAACATGTTTTATCAGCTCACCATATTGCTCATGTATCTGTATCTGTTTTACAGCTCAAATTTAGGAAGGAAAATATTTAAATATAAAGTTTATGGTATACACTATTTATTTATTGACATGACTGCAATGATTGCTGCTGGGAATGCTAATTTAAAGTGTTATCAGAACAAGTCTGCAGCTCCCCCAGGGGGCAGCTCCCAGCTGTGAGCGTGGTGTAGAACTTTGGGTTTTTCCTGCAGGCTGTCACTCTAAATGTTTAGAGCTGCTTCTACAGTATTACATACAGTCTGGGAAGCACATGGATCCAAGCTACGATTACCTCGCACTACTTTTTATAAGTAAAAAGCTGCGTCCATCCCGTCCTTGTGTTTGGACACAGATTTTTACTTATTTGTGGCGCTATCGCTAAATCGAGTTAGTCGTTATTAAAATGAACTAGTTGTGTCAATTTTCTCAAATTTCACGTCATTGTTAGCTTTGCTAAGTTTCCTCTCACACCGACATCAACCTCACAAACTCTGTTGTTGTGATTTTCTGCTATATAAATAAAGCTGAATTAAAAAGATTGTGATGCAGGTGAAAACTAGCAGTTCTGACAGAACATGAGTTACTTTGTTTTGATTTCGTGGACAAATATGGACAAAAGAGTAATTTTTAAAGTAAAAATAACGCAGTGCAGGAGCAGCAGAAATATATATATAGTTTTCATGGTGTTCATGGTGTTAACAGGTTTGGGTTAAAGACAAAGAGCAGACTGTCGGCTGATCTCGTTAGACTGATTTGCTCCATTACAAAATCACCAAGTTATGTTGAACTCTGTGCAGCATCAGCTCATGTACATGTTCTTCTTCAAACACACTTTATGATCCTTCAGCGATGATTTAGAAAAAAATTTTTTTCCAAAAAAACAGGGAAACTCTTAAATACCAGAGCAGATAAAAATACTCACACTTCAAACGAATGCTCATTTGTGGCTTTTGTGGACCATGAAAATGCCACATTTCTTGGTAAAATGGATTACTTAAATTTTTTTATTATGAAGCTTAACTGTAGCATTACACAAATGCAATAATAAAATGGGCTTTGAAGGAATATCTTCTGCAAATCAGGTCTGTTTAGGCGTCTGAGACGAAAACATAAGAGCCACAGGTGCGACTTGGAAAAGCTCGATCGAGTTCGCCAGAACGGACTGACCATCTTTTTAAAACAGACAGTTTATGATTTGTTTGTTGCTC